AAGGTAAGTTTGTAGAGCTTCGCACCAGAAACCCTAAACTGGCTCAGTATTGTTTATAACTTCGCCAGAGGGCATATTTTTGTTTCACCCACTCTCGTACGTGCCAAATGGTAAACATCGTTCCTTAAAAATAAAATTGCTTTTAACCTGTGAACCCGTGGCTTATTCAGGTTTCTTCTTATCTCGGATTCTCAAAAAGCGAGTGAACCGCAGTGATAATCCCTTTACAGGATCCACCTAATAAACAACGATGAGGAAGAACTCTTCTGTAATGGAAAGACTGTTACTGGTGAAGGACAAGGAGGAGGAGGAGATAAAGGATAATTTCAGGGAGGAGAGGGTGGAGAGTATCTGGGTGGATTCGGAGGTGGCGGTGGTTTTCGTGGAGCCGACAACGGAGCTGGTGGCGGTGGTGGTAACTCTGGGGGAAATGGAGGTGGGGGGGAGGGGGGAGGGTCTTTTAACATTGGGACAAATCAACTAAACGAATGTTGTTATAATTACGATAAACATGATAAAGTGATCATCACATTTCTTCAGTGAAATGGACATGGCGACACAATCCTCAAAGTGAAGCGAATATTCTTTTCTCAAACCTCAAATTTGAAAAATCTTCAGATTTTTTATTAAGAGTTTGAAGATGTACGCTAACCTTTAGATTTAAAGTGGTTTGCTTTCGAGTTCAGAGTTTAAATTAACAATCAGTATTTGCTGGAATAGGTTTTTTCGTGGTTACACTTTGACCTTAGGGAATTTATTTTCTGCAAAACCTTAAAGTTTTGTTCCTTTTCCGGCTCTTTTCGGAGCATTTCGGACGTTGTGCTTGAGTATTTATAGAGCGCAAGTGTTCTGTCTTCAACTGTGAAGGTCAGTAGACATAAACAATGCTAATTACGAATTGTTACGAGTTAATTGTTTCTAGGAATTACAGAAACAAGCTTTTACTTTTTCCTCCTTATCAGTCGATAATTCATAGTTTCAAACTACAGTTTGGTTAAAAATCAATAAATTGGTTCCAAGCTGTCAAATTAAAGCTGTTTGTTTTTTACTAGACTTGAGTTATAACATTTCACAACTTAAAAGCAAGGTTTCTTTGGGAAAGAACGAAGTAGTATATTTCATCGCAAATACGAGAATCTACAATATCACGATAGCTGTTTTCTTTGCTGGTTTGTCCGTCCATTAGATCCTATCCTGTTTTACTCTATCTCAAACTCATCGGCTCTATCCTGTTTTACGGGTAAATCTTTTTATGGGCCTCGTTACCAGCCACCCGCGCGGTATGCATTGTCTGTTGTCAATCGTCAAACCACGCATTCGCAAAGGGTTCAATTTTGGCCAGCCCGCGTGCCAATTTCCCACGTAAATTTTCAAAGGAGAACATTAGAAAGAGCGTTTGCACGTGAAATATTTGAAAAAAAATTAAATGTTCATGGAAATCTGTAAACGGGGACAAAAGTTGGGAAAGTCGAGACTTTCGAACACGAAGCTGATTAATTTTGGGTATCCTGTTGACATATTTATTAATTTATTTCAGGCTGTCTGTCAGAGAATATTACGTCTAGTATTGCTTATGTTCTGTATTTTCATTGCTATGCATAGCAGTTAAGTCCACAATGGTTGCTTTGGAGCAAATATCTCTAAAAAAAAGAATAAAGATTGTAAAATTCGCGGTGGGACACGGCCAAGAATCTTTTGTCCCATTTCTTGTCAGTATGCAGTTTACCATCCAAGACAAAGCAAAATGAGGTTAAAATTTTGAAGTATCTTCTTTGACAGTAATAATCCGTTTAAAACCAATCAAGGGTAAGCAGCCAAAGTTTCTCTGTGTTTGCATCATGAAAATATGTAGCATTTCAGTCATGTAGAAGCCCTCATGAGGGCTTAAATGCTAAAGAACGGTGTCTCTTGCTAAGAAACTCTTGTGGCCTAGTATCAATTACGAAAAATACCCTTTTATTTTTGTCTTCAAAATAATTGTGTTCCGACAATGAGATGAAATTTTTGGTCTGTCAGAAACAAGCATATGATGTCCTACAAAAATGATCAATGTGGATCTCAAAGGTCTCAAAATAGTTACAAAGGAGCCGAGAAAATAGTTTAATACGATTCGGTTTTTTATTCTTTTTTCCCCATTATGTTCTCTCCGCCAGTAATAACTTTAAACGATGTTAGTTCTCCGCGAGAAAAAGATATCGCTCTCTTTTTGTTTCGTCGAGTTTTTAATTTCACTTTTCAATGACTGCGTTTTTTTTTCGGTTCATCTGCTACTCTTCTCAGTGGTGATTGTTTTGGCCGTCATCGGTGATATTTTCAAAGGAAATGAAACTTTATGAAAACAATTTTTTTTTTCTAGCGGTTGCACAACATAACAGATCATGATATGTCACTCAAAGAGGAATTAATCTGTTCGTTTAGACTTGAAATCGCCATCTCCCCCTCTTTCGACGCAGAAGTTCGACTAATCGGAATACGTCAAGAAGCCAAAGTCAGAATTTGAGCAGACTAAATTGATTACGGCCAAGGTACAGAGAGCGAGGATGAGAACGAGACGAAACTTTGATGTCATTAGTTCAGTAACTTGACTTGAAAACGAGTTAGATCTCAAATTGGGCCCAAACTTCTCGATGCACCAGAATTTCCAGCACTTACTTGAACGTGTCCTTGGCTACCGATAGATTGTAGTATGTTTAAGAGCCGCTCGAAAACAGTACAATCCCAATTGCTACCACGGTTGTGCATCGGATTTTTACCTTTAGATATTGCGTGCAGTCATCTGAAATTCGTATGAAGGGATGAGAAATTTAAGGAGCTTTGTGCTCATTAATTTTAATTTACAGCACTTACGAGGGCGTCTCGATAACCTTTAAATTATTAAACAATTAGTTTTGAAATTAACCGGTCCCTTGAATGATTATGAGAAATAAAAATGAAACGCCTTCAGATTAGGTCTTATGACGAAACGAGAATCAGAATGACTGCGTAGTCCATGGTAGGTTTAAATGTTAATAACCATGTGAGCTTTGATAAATATAAACAGGAAGATAAGCTCATATTCCGCTTTAGCTTAATGCATAAGAAATTTATTTAACGGTAACTAATTGAAGCTTCAAACGCACTCGTCATATTGTTCTCAGAGAGGGCAATATTTTTTTTTATTGTAGAAGTATTCTTCATTCCGTGTTTTTAATTTTAAAAAGCTAAATTTTCAGGCTTCTGTCCCCCTTTGTTAAAGCTAATACCCCATTCACACCGGCAAAACATGTTTAGTTAAACTAGTATTTCCATACGATTCAAGTACTTGCTAACTTGTATTTCCAATCTGCTACATTTTAAGTTAATAAATATTAGGTTATGTAGTTTCTGCGAAAAAAACATTAAACTGTGTTTAACAAAACAACTTTAAAACATGTGTAAGCTTTGGTGTGAATGGGGTATAAGGCATTCGTGATACGGGGGAACGACTGACTTCGTTTAATTTTCATTTTATTCTTCGCGTGACTTGAGGGGGCACTACAAAAAGTATCTGATAGCTGGGTCACAGTGACTAATGATTGAGTTAGAAAATTATATATGTACACTTCAGTAGTGTTTATAGCTGCGAGGATCTCTTATTTTCGTTTCTACACCGCAGTGCACATATATGTTTTTCGTTTATGTACAATTATTATTCATCACTTGGATGGTTAATTTGGACCCAACATAATGACTAGCTCCCGGTTGGCTTGTTAGCTCAGTTGGTAGAGCGCTGCACTGGTATTGCACAGGTCATGGGTTCAAATCCCGTACAGACCCTAATTTTGTTTTCAGGTCTTGTTTCATTTACTAGTTCAGTAGTGTTTATAGCTGCCAGGATCTCTTATATTCCTTTGTGGTTTTATTGATAAAACTCGTCACTCTCACTAAATGCGAGTAAAAATAAGACTAAGAATGATTGTGTGCCTTTTCTAAGGTGAGCTGTTCAAAACCATGTCCATTCATGGGACTGCAGGAATACCGAGTCGCGCACCGGCCGAGCTCGTGTTATAATTATAGATTTAGTATAGTTTGTGATTGAAAATGCTCTCAGTTCGACCACAGAACAGGGCTCACGTTGGCAACAGACTTCGACAACCTCTCCTGGAACTCTAAGTTAGATCGACTGTGTGACGATCACGAGCTTGGGTTTATCTTGTCTCCTTGTTTGATTTGCAAACGCCGTGACATGTCGTCGTGCCTCAAAAGTTTCAAGGAGCTTAGAATTTAACTTTTTTTCCATTCACGTATCGATATATACTTTTGTACATAAAGCATGCTATTTCTTTTTCTTCTTGGGGATTATTTGGTCATCATTGGTGAATTTATAAAACGTTTCAACTTCATTAAAAGAAGAAAAGGAAAGTAGGCCCGGTTACTCCTGTAGAGGTAACGCAAGGAGACTGGGAATTGCCATATGGTAATTTTGCTGTTTCTGATTGAACATTCGTGGAAAGACGTTTATTAACCAGTAATAAGTAAGAGTTCAATCCTGCTTTCTAGAACTTAAAATCGTCTCAAGTCGTAAAATCATAGAGTTCAGCTTCCTGCTACTCTTGATTATGTTTGTTGATAGTCCAGTAATTATTATTGAAGTAAATATACATAGATAAATTATAGAATAGAATTTTCATCCTGTTTCAATAAAATCGTACCAAAGCCTCTTGTAGGTCCCTTGAAAAAAGTTGAATATTTGGGGCTTGAGTAATTATAACCAGATGTCAAAACACGCTCTAATATCCGCTGAGATGATCGCGTGTGGCCTTATAAAAACTCATCTTTGTAGATATGGTTAATTACTCGCTTGCACAGAAACGAGTCGGTTGCTATGGTGACAATCTCCCACCGAAAGTAATGAATGTAGAGTATTTGAACGCATATTTATTTAACTACAGCTGTCTCAATTTGTCTGATGTTCCCCCGCATGAAGTTGAAGATCTCACTTCAACTGTCCGTTGTAATTATATCGGGCGTTTTCTGGGAACATGCTATTTGTATTCTACTGTTTTGTTCTTACCGTTTTGGCTTCCCTAATACCAGAAGGAGAAGGTCAGATTTTCCTACAATTTTGTCCTAACTCATGTCTGAGTACTAGTTAAAAGTTTACCGAATCTTTCTGTTACATTTTTATTATCCTTGTCAATATAACTTGAGCTTTGAGATATGCATACAAACTTCTTCCCAAAATATTTAAGATAATGAACTAATTTTAACCAAGTTTCGCTCTAAACAGGCATAAGACAACCCTCATATTTCATAAGAAGTTCAGACTAAAATACTAGGGAACATGGGTTGTGGGAAAGTTTACTTCAAAGTAATTAATCAGGTCTCCGCAATGTTTTCTATAAACGTTCTCGACTCTTTGACACGGCACAATGGATAAGTTGACTACAAGCAGATCTACGAACTTTAAAACAAGTGGAAAGTCTTGTTCAACTCAACTGAAATGGCTCGGCCGGATCAAAGGAAAGCTTGACACAGAAGTGCAACTTTTCAAGTTATTTAATAACTACAGTCTCTTAAACTAGAATAGTGTTTCGTGGAAAAGAATTCAAAAGAGAAGAAAAAGCTTCAGAGCTTTTAACTTTGGGCTGTAACATGTTGCATAAAAACTTGACCTTTTTGGTAAAATGTGGCTCTAAAGTTGATCCTTAAGTTGATTCAAATATTATAATCCTATAGATCGATGACTTTGTGGATTGCGGGGAGCCTCTACAGAAAGGATGCTCTACATGCATATATACATAAATTCACACATACATTCATTGTACTTCCTAAAAAGGGCTTTTTAACCTAAACAGGTGGTTCTCAAGGAAAATTTTACGCAGTCCTGTTTGATCAAAGTTTAGATTGTTGACCGTCCATTCGAGGAGTTTCTCAGCGTATTTAATTTTCAAAATTAACGCCGTCAGGTTTTTCAGTTTCTAAAAGCGTGAGAACAAAGGTGGCAAACACCACCTTGTTTTTTTTGTTTTGATGGAAATAAATGTGTTTTTTTAAATGTTTTTTTTTAGAGGTGTTTTTAACTCCTTGAGTTATACGTCAGCGAGTTTAATTATCTCTCGCTGATAACACTCAGTATGGTCGAAATCTGAAGTCACGCTACACAACAACACACTTACACTTTTCATGAATTGAGCTTTTTAGCCGAGAGCAAACAAAAGCTCCCCGAAAACGTTCTGATAGTAACGAGCTAAACATCTTCAGACGAGATTGCCATTTTTACGTGATAAACACGAATTACTCTACATATCAACAAGGGTTGATTGTAGACTTCGGCGTCGATTGATCGATGGATCATAATATGTGATCGCATCAAAAAGAAGTTAAAAATTGCCGTGATCATTCGGAATAATATTTAAAACCACTCGACTGGTGTTATAGGCAAGGCAAAAAACCAAACTCCAAATTAAAGCAATAATTTAGGAGTAACACTGTTCTAAAGTTCCAGTTTAAGTAAAAGTTCCTAGTGCTACATAGCAACTTTCTAACTTGATAGATTTTTTTTCTCCAGGTAATTGCCGCAATTTAAAGTTTACCAGTTTTCCTAAACTTGGCTACCGGTTGGAGAATCACACGGTTCGAACTATTGACGTTGTCAACAAGGATCTCTGCATGTTTCAATGCTACCTGGAACCTAACTGCGTCAGTTATAACTTCTGTGAGATAAACCAGTCGTCTGGAAAACATAAGTGTGACCTAAATAATGCGACTATTGAACACGGTGAAGGCCTGGTGGAATACAAAAGTTGTATTTACCGCGGAGCAGAGGTGAGAAAGAATTCTATGGGCCAAGAGTAATATTCCTTGTCCAAGAAAGCTTTGTTACCGCACCAGTGGATACCTCAGCCTCTCTAACCTGTTAAATACCCGCTTGCATCGGGAAAAAATAAACACATGCGAGGGAACTGTCATGCCTGCAAAATCAGTATCATTTTAAGTTTCTCTCTTCCTTTCCTTCCTAAGAATGCTTGTAAGCAGAATCCTTGCAAGAATAATGCAACATGCCAAGCTGGGTTTACAGACAGTGACTATCAGTGTTTGTGTGTTGATGGATCTGGATTTAAAGGCCATGATTGTGATGAGGGTAAGGAATCTTATACTTTTATTAAGGCAGAAACATGATGCATAATTGATAAGCTCAGCACGCCCCTCCCTTAAATTGAAGTTCTCTAAGGTGATTGGGCAGACTTATTTAAAAGGGATGAGATCAAACAATGGCGAACACCTCAATAGTTTGATAGACACAACATCGCAGTTGAAAGCCTTTGCCTTTGCCTTTCATGTAATGCGAGAAGAATAATCCAGAATGGCACAAGTTATTCAAAATACAAAAGAGGGCTTACATATGAACAACTTTGTTGCTTCTCATGGTTTGTTCATTAATCATTCTTGTTTTTCACCTCATTCAGTCTCAATTTTTTTTAACGCGATTTCTTACCCGCCATCTAAATGAGTGTATGAACGGAACACACCACTGTAATGTAAATACCAAGTGTAACAATGCAACGGGGCGCATTTTACATATGATCTCGAAGTGTCTGAAAAGAAAATTTTTTTTGATAAATTAGGATCTTTAAAGAAAACATTGAATATGTGGTCCCAAAGAGACCTCTCCATCGTTGGTAGGATAAATATAATGAAATCTTCGCAACAACGTTTATACACAAACATGTAATCAGCATTAAGGAGATATTTTCTCATTAAAAAAATACACCTGATGTGGGCAGAAGCCAAAATGTACTCAGATTATTTAAACTGGAAAATATCTACCGATGGCGTGTGAGCAATTTAAGTTCTATTAAGTTGTTGCGACTATCTCCTTTTATTTGGTAATTTAAGATTTCCATTTGTTTTAAAATAGATTTACGTTGTCAAGGAACACTTGGTATGGAAAACGATGTAATCACCGATGAGCAGATAAGTTTCTCGTCCCAAGAAGAGAATGACGCAAAAATTGTAAGATTACATCACACAGGGACGACTTGGGTAGCTGATAGGAAGGATTCTAATCCGTGGCTTCAGCTCGATCTCAGAGCTCAAAACACTGAAGTAACACGAGTAGCAACACAGGGATCCCATCAACATAACAAATGGGTGAAGAAGTACAAGCTACAATACAGCAACTATGGAGTGAGATTTCAAAACTACAAAGAACAAGGACAAACCATATCAAAGGTAAGACTGATCAGAGGCGTGGAAGGGTTCTAAAACATAAGCTGCTCATTGTACACAAAACCAAGTTCATTCCATAATTCAAACTTCCCAATACGTTCTTTGAGTAGTTTGTTAGGACAAACAGTCCTCTTTACAATCAGATTAGCTTCGTTTCTCAATTTGTTACGATGCATGAGTCAGCAGTTGTTCTAGAAAATTGCGACGATGTATAAAAATTTCATATATTTACCATTTTCATTTTCATCTATCCAGTTTTTGATTAACCTTAGATAGACATTTGTAGAAAAAGTTCGACCCAATTTTACCGTTCGGTGGTATAGTATGAATTTCATGAATCAAATCGCTCGTGAGATATTTCACTGTTTACCCAACGAAAATATTGCATAATATAATTATATAAATTTTATTTTAAAATTTTTTATGTAAACAGGGCGGGCACGTACCGCGCATTTTAAACAAAAACATTTATTTCACATCTTTTATGGTACAGGAATTTAAGGGAAACACAGACAAGAACAGTGTTGTTTATCACTGACTGAACCCACAAATCCCAGCAAGGTACATACGTTTTCTACCCGTGGAGTGGAATGACGAGATATCAATGAGAGTGGAACTGTATGGATGCGTCAAAGGTAAGGAAAATAGCTTTCATCTAAAGCTGATAATCATTGTATCTAATCGACCTCTTTAAATAAGCTGAACAATTGATACTGTTATGTACTGAACCTAATTAAAGATCCTCTGGTCAGGAAAAACTAGATAAAGGTAATGAAAGTTAGAAGTTAAATCAGCCAAACCAAAATCGTAAGTAAATATCAAAAGCATTGACTGGTGTGTCCAGAAATTTCTTCTAAATTTCAATCGTCGAAACTATAGGCAGTTTTCTTCTAATAAGCTTGAGAAAGAAAAGGACTCCGCATTACAGTTGATCTGATCATAGGAGCTCTTTAAAACTATTCATTTCGTTAAAAGTTTATGCAACCATGTTAACAACATTTTTGAGCTCAATGTAATCTACGGTACATTAATTGCTTCATGATCTCATAGCTGCTTTCAATTCGCTGCCGTTGATAACTTACATTTGTAAAACGCCTGCTAACCTTTCGTAAACAGAATGTGGAAGATTTCTCGGCATGCAAAGCGGTGAAATCTCTGACGAACAGTTAAGCACCTCTTCAGAGAGAGACTCTAACCACTCCGCCACTCAGAGCAGACTTCATGTTGTAAATCCTGACAGAGAGGGATCTTGGGCAGCTAAAAATAATAATACGGATCAGTGGCTCCAAGTTGATCTGGTTATTCTGCACACTATAGTGACACGTGTGGCAACACAAGGAAGTAATGGACCCAAGAGGGAGTGGGTTACAAAGTACATCCTGCAGTACGGCAACGATACAGAAATGTTCTACAATTACACAGTCCCAGAACAAAACACAATGAAGGTAAAATTGATTTGTTGTGAATTGATTCCCGTTTAAACAGGAAAAGAAGTATTTTTGGATGATCATTGGCAGGGGTCTTGCAAATGCACCGCCAGTAATAACTGTATAATGTTGGGCCCCCTTGAGGAACGATTAGAGGACTGGTATATGAATCAGTTGGAGGACTGTTTTCACATCGTAATAACTGTTATTCATAAAATTAATTCTTATCAAAGATTTAATGGAAAACCTGTTATGTTGTTAATTCAAAGGTTTTTGCTGGAAACATTGATCAGAATACCGTGGTTTATCACGACCTAAACCCACCAATCACAGCGCGATACATTCGTTTTAAACCAGTGGAGTGGCAGGACTGGATATCAATGAGGGTAGAATTGTATGGCTGTGTACAAGGTAAGGCCTGAATGACAATAACGATTGAGAGGTACCTCTTGTAACGAGTAATTTACACCAGATAATGTTTCATTTCCTGTTCAAAAGCGAAAGCTTGGATATTGTTTACTGTGTGTCATCTCAATCACAATCAAGCTGCTACAAGTTGACGCGAGTTTTCTGGACCAATAACAGGGAGAAGAGAGGTAAAAAACCAATACACTCCTGGAAAACTTGTTGTAATCATTTGAAAATTGCTCTACATAGTATTATTCAATTGAATCACCAGCTTTGGTCACATGAAGTTCCTTCCTTCTTCACTCTCCTCCTTTCACTGTCACGTGTCATCGCCGAACCACAAACTGGAAAAATTTGACGAGAAAAGCTACTCTAATTGTGGGAATGGGAAGGAAACCTTGTCTTCTCTTGAGATTTTTAGATTCCCCAACAACAAAACCTCGTGATGGTTCAATCGTACCGTTTATGAAAGTATCATGTCGGTATTCAAAAACACCATTTTGATTCAGGTCGGCAATCAATATGTTATTGTCGAATGTAATCCTTAGATGTAATGAAGTAAGTCAATGCCCGACTATCGAGGATTTCTACTCTCTAAAAATACAAACACGAGCAAGCGTCGAAAAATGCACAGTACGACTTGTTCGAACACTCCAAGTGACTGACGTTTCTATTCCATTCTTTCGGTGATTCAATAATTTATGTAACTTTCAAAAACTCATTAATAATTCATAAGCCTATTAACCTATCAAAAGGTAGATAATACATCACGTGCGGTGACTTTATATCGATAAACCTCATCCTTATTAGTATGCGGTGTTTTATCAGATATAAAGACACTGCACGTGACTTATGAATATTAATTAATTATCAACACAGAAACTGACACAACAAATGGTGGGAACATATTTAATGTTCTTTCAACAAATTTCACACAGTAAATTTACTTTTGCACCAAATTAATAGTACAGTTGTGAAATGCACATCTGGAAAAATTCTCTATTCCATTAGTACAGTAATCTGGTAAAAGCATATTAGACAATACATCATCTGAAACTTCGAATTCAAGATCATGTTTTTCTCGTATGCTAGTTTCTAACGTTCACAAAAGCATAATTGTTATGAACTCTCTTGACACACGCTTTTCCAAGAATATTTTTGAAGCCGTTCAAAAAACTCGCAGCACGTGTTTTATCGGGTCAAAAACCACTCGGCTACGCCTCGTGGTTTTAAACCCGATAAAACACTCCTGCTCGTTTTTTAAACATTACATAATAACATTTCCTCGGTAATAGTACCATTAGAAATGGCAAAGAAAATTTTGACAATTTCTTGCCAGCAACATTACTTTTATTGTATGGTTTTATGCAGGATTTACAGCTGTGTTTACAAATCTTGGTAAGATTGGATCAGAGGGTCCAAAGTCGATTGGTAGTCATTACAAAGATCAAGACCATAACGGACAAGTAACAGTGTCCAGCAGTATTCTAGTGTGGACTGTGCCACGCACTGGTGAATACAGAATAGAAGCAATAGGAGCCTCAGGGGGGTTCAGTGAGGACAGTATCATAAAAACCGGAGGGAGAGGGGCACGAATGATTGGAAACTTTAATTTGGCCAAATATGAGATCATTCATGTACTTGTTGGTCAAAAAGGGGGAAAAGGGAATTCAAACCCAAAAACTGCCGGAGGTGGAGGAGGTACATTTGTAGTGAAAGAAAACAACAAGCCTTTGATTATAGCTGGAGGTGGAGGAGGAATTAAATGTGTATTGGAACAACATCCAGGATGTGATGCGTCCATAAACACAACAGGGAATGGAGGGTATAACTTTCCATTGGGTTCAGGAGGAAGCAACGGAAATGGAGGAAAGGCCAGTACAAAATATTCAGGTACGCGGAGAAAGAAGAAAAAACCAAACAATCAGTAGGTTCAATCCATAAGGAAAAGAGGACCACAGTAAGATTTATCAGAACTTAATTATTGAAATTACTAATTCTAACTCTGAAGTTCTTCTTTTCTCGGAGGCACCTCTTAGAATATCAAACGAATAAAGGGGTAAGTTTTTAAAGAAACTGTGGTACTGCGTCGGTGAGAGAGTATAGCAGGTAATTTAGTGTTAACAGCTGAGTTGAAAACGTAAATTAGCCACCGTCAGAGCGATTGACGAAGGGCTAACGCTCGAAACGTCAGCTTTTTTACCCTTTTCGGAGGCTAATTTACGTTTTCAACTCAGTTGCTAACATTAAATTACCCTCTTAGAATATCAGTTTTCTAAAAAATCCTAAGTGTGCATTCCTCGTGTACATTTCTTTTGTCCTGACAAGCTGTTCAATTTCTAGCAGTTGACTAACCAATAATATTTTTAAATAAGCTTCTAAAAATTGAGAGAAAATTGATAATATTGCGAATCGTCGTTTAAACGTTCTCAAGTAAGTAATCAAATAGAAGCCATTTATGAGACAACTGCTTCTCAGTTTTCGTTTATTATAGGTGGTGGCGGCGGCGGCTTCTACAGTAATGGACAAAGTGCTTCGAGCGGTTCTGGTCAAGGAGGTAAAGGATATCTTCAAGGAGGAGAGGGTGGAAATGGTAAGGGTGGGTTTGGAGGTGGCGGTGGTTTACGTGGAGGTAACCGTGGAGCTGGAGGCGGTGGAGGTTACTCTGGAGGAAATGGTGGAGTTAATGAACAGTTTTCTTGTGGAGGAGGGGGTGGATCTTTTAACAATGGGACAAATCAGCAGAATGAATGTTGTTTTAACAGGTATGGACATGGTAGAGTGATCATCACGTTTCTCCAGTGACATGCCCTTGGC